GCTGCCACTTCCGCCGTGGCGCGGCGAGTGGGGGCGGAGGCGGCCGGCCCGGCCTGTCGGTTACGGGCGGCGCAGCTGGGGGTCGGCACCTGAGGGAAGGTCCCCAGCACCATCGCCCGCTCTGGAGGAACCGGGCCCGGGCTCTGGCCTCGCTGGTCCAGTCCCAGGAGGGTCGAGCCCTCCTTGTCCCATCACTCATTATCCACAACAACAATGTCAGACGCTTTGAGCTTTGTACCTCTTATCTGTTGTCATCTCATTTGCTCCTTCCAATCTACGGATAGGGAAACTGAGGTTAGCACCCGGCCCCCAACCTCTCGGGCCCGAGCTAGGTTGCAGCGCTCTTCACTTTTTAATGGCAGTGTTTGTTTACAAGTCTACCTTGGTTTTGAGACAGCCCATCCTGATAACCTCATTACGCTGATGATTGATCGCCGGGCACAGTGTTACACACTTGGTGAATGGCGGTTTCAACTTCCGTTCCCACGTTCTTTCAGTATATCATCAGTGGTCCTCTGGAAGAGTGGTAACATTAGTTACCAACTATTAAGTATCTGACGTTAACTTGATAATCTAAGCTTTATCTTTCAACTCAGTAAAGTATGTGGTAGTTTACTTTTCGTAATGCAGAAGAAACAAATGAGTTCAAAGAAGTTAAATACCTTTCCGAAGTCCTAAGTGGTAAAACCTTGGGCTTTCTGATTCCACAGCTTTTGCTACTATTAGAGAACTCTCACATAAAAAGTTCAGGCTGAAAGCACAGATTATTTTTCTTTGTGTAAACATGCATGTGAAATGCTTAGAACTTGGGCGTTCAATAAATATTGATTCATCTCATACTCTTTCGGAAGTCCGTGCGAAAAGTGTGAAAAGGATTCTTGGAGACTCAGCTCAGGGATCATGTGGCCCTGGGAAGTCACTTCTCCCTTTGGGACACAGAAAGGAACTTTCCAGGCCTTCATTTTCTGTTGAACTAAAAAGAAGGTTGTTTTGTTAATTTATGCCCTGCTGCACTAACAGATCTTTGAGATGACATCACACATCAAGCAAGAATGACAGGTACATTAAAGATATCAATTAGAGACTAAACCAGGTGATTGGTGAGGTCTCAGATGAATCTGAATCTCTTCCTACTTGAGTCCACACAGCCCAGCAACTGAGAGACAAAGGCCACATTTCTCCTCCTCTGCTATTTTTAGGCTCCCAGGCTCCCTAAAATTTCCCTCTTTTTTCCGAGGTGCTTCTTAGGAATAAGATTTCTTAATTCTGTTATCCTGGCCACCTGGAATGGAATCATTTCTTTCATCTGCAACATAAGAAAAGAATTTTGTTTTTGCTTCTGCTTCAAGCAAATCTGGACTCTTTGTCTTGTCTTTCCTTCTCTCTTCGTTGGGATTGTTACTCAAAATGCAGAATAGTCCCAAAGGGCTTGTCCTGTGTTTAGTTCTGATGTTTTCTCTTGACCTCCTTTCTGCAAGAAATTCCTTACGTGCTCGTTATTTCACTATACCTTCATGGCTGTAGTCCTGTGAGGAAAATAAACACAGGTTTATTTTCTTTTGTGAATATTTGAATACAAGATTGAGGTTCAAATCAGCAAGTTTAAGTCTGTGGCACAGCTAAGATTGACACACATCTAAGACTATTTGGATTCTCCACACAATTCCTCCCATACAAGAGTTGTAGCTGCGGGACCATCGTGCTAGAGTGTTGAGCAAATTGAGAAGCCATAGGTTCTAATTTTTATTGGGGAAATGGATTCAGCCTTACAGCAGTGATATGTACAGGTCAGTTCCCTAAGTTCAATGCCAGTTCAGAATGGTTAGTACTTTACATGATCATTGAGTCTTTTTTTTTCAAATGTAAAAAATGGTATCCTCATTAGAAAATTAGCAAAAAAAAAAGTTTAATAATACCATATTCCCTTATTCCCTCCTTCACATCTCAGTAATGATCTGGTGAGCCACAGAACAAGTCAAGCAGGACTGCTGAATTAGAGTGTATTTGATTCTAGCATGTGAAATGTTGTTTTCCTTAGCAGGAGAGTCACTGACCAGACTAGAATTTATGATTTTATAATGTCCTTAGAATCTTCAAAAGTCAAATTTTGCTATAAAAAGTTTTTTCTCTCCCCATCAACTCAGTGTTAATGTCACCAAGATACATCTCTGTCAGATTGTGCAGTAAAACAGTTTACCCTTTATGCAATAATATCTTGTTAAGTGTGACATACTCTATCCCTGCAAGGTCTAGAGTAAACTCGGGGGCTTCTGAATCAGGGAGTGTTTGAAAATCTGGTAGTTTCCCATTATTAACACATCTGACCTTGAATAGAGGACGTGACTTGCTTGTATTTTGACAGCCCATTATTAATTTCTTCTTTGTCTAGCCTTTTTTCTTTGTGTCATATTTATCCTTTATAAGAAATACAGGATGTGATTCCAAAGAAAACAGTCTACTTGAAGGTTTTGCTAATAACATTTGGTAACTGTTCTCTGCTTTGAAAGTCTTTGGAAGAAAAAGCCTGCTGCCTACAGAGATTTCATAATTGGTTAGGTTTTTCTGAATGCCAGAAGACTGAGTCATGTTTTAAGAAAGGATCTTTAAATAGGCAACTTTGAATCCCATTCATTTGCCATTTGTATATTTGACTCCCGTGTGATGTTTAATTTTTTTTTAAACATTGGTATGTAAAGCTAGAACAGGTTGTCACTATTACGAATATAGATAGTATTATAAGACCATGATGTTAATGCATACTACAAGCTCAGTGAAGCAAAAGGTATTGTTTATATAAATAAGTCTTTAACTTTGGTAAAACTAAATTTAACAAATCTATTTTCCCCCCTAGATTTACCAAGAGCATGAATCAAGAAAAGTTAGCCAAACTTCAAGCTCAGGTCCGGATAGGGGGCAAGGTGAGTGTGGTGTAAGACAAACTGGTAGGAGAACCTATGATTGCGAGGTAGAATTACTACTTTGTATTGGTGGTCGTTGAGTTCAGAATATTGTCAGAGATTAAAATCAGGCCACATTCCTATTTGTTAATAATTTATCTAGTTCTAAAACATGTGACTAGAGGACTTTCTCTCTGGTGGCAGTGAAAATAGACCCCTTTGTTTGAGTCCCCACATTGTAATTTTGGTATGTGTGTGGGCATATGCGCGTGTGCAAGTGCACACGCATGTGGAGGCCCAGGGGTGACATGGGGCGAGGTCGTTCTCGTTCGTTCTCCCTCTTACATATCAAGGCAGAATCTCTTGCCAGCTGCTTCCAAGGGTTCCCTGTTTCCACTTCGCACATGCAGGGATTATAGGGGCCACCACAGCCGCTTGGCTTTTGTGGGCTCTGGGGATCCAAAGTGGTCCCCATGCTTGTGCTTTACCCATTAAGCCAGCCTCCCAGCCCCTGAATCCCAGCTTTCAACATCTGCTTATGTGACATGAGTAAATTACCTAGTCTTGGTAAGATTTTCATTGTTTTCATCCGCAAGATAGAAATAATTATTTAAAATGCTTCTAAAAATTAGAGCATTGACTGGGCGGTGGTAGTCCACACCTTTAATCTGAGGCAGAGGCAGGTGGCTCTGTGAGTTTGAGGACAGTCTGGTCTACAGAGTGAGTTCCAGGACAACCAGGGCTACATAATGAGACCTTGTCTCGAAAAACTTAAAAAAAAAAAAAAAAGAGAGAGAGCATTGTTTATAAACACCTAACATGATATCTGACATAAGGTAAGTGGTAAACAAATGTAAAATGGTAGCTTTTATGCCTCTTTTATAGGGAATGGTAGATGTTAGGGTTACCTTATCCTGCTTAAATGTAATGTCCATGTGGTTAAGTGCATAACTGGGAATGTTTAAAGTGAATATATATTTTATGGATTGCCAGATTTTCCTCCCAAATGCCTACTTTTTCGTCCATGCCATTGAACATGATAAGTTCCCTATTCCATATACTTTAAAGCCTCAGGAGGTTGTAAACCCCAAAACCTTGATTTCCCTTCAGTTGTGGCCTGAGGCTCAAGAAGAATATTCTACCCTCATCTTTGCCCAGTACAATGTTTGCAAAAGAGAGAAAGAACAATACTTCATTTGTGGATCACTATGGAGAAAGGGCAGATAGGAGGCTATGTAATAGGTGTTACCATGTGTTCCATTGAGCATAACCACAGCTCTTGGGTAGAGGCAGTCAAGGGAGAAAGAAGAAGTGACTAGTACTTTCTTCTGATGGTGATAAAATTAGATGATGTGAAGTCATATTAACACACTGTTAACTGTAATGGTCACATTGTAATACATGCAAAATTAGGGGTTTGTAACAACTAGATAGATCTAGAAGGGCCTGATGCCCACCTATCACATCACATCATTATTTACTTATTAATAAGTAAATAAGTAAACTTTTATTTACTTATTTAGTGGGTGGTTTATGCATGTGTGTATGCCTACAGACACATGTATTTTTAGGGGCCAGAGGTGAGGAATCTTCTATTCCTCACTACCCTATTTTTTATAGTTATTTTGTGTGTAGACACACATATGTGCACATGAGTACATGCATGACTGCAAATGTGTACCACACATGTGGAGATCTGAGGACAACTTGCAGGAATCAGTTCATTCCTTCTACCATGTGAGTTCTGGGGACTGAACTAAGGTTATTAGGTTTAGTCATAAGCACTTTAAGCTACTGAGCCATCTCTCCAGCTCCACTGCATTTTTTGAGATGGTTTCTCAGTGAGCCTGAAGCTTCCTGATTCCGCTAGGAGGCTGGCTGGCCAGTGAGCCTCCAGAATCTTCCTGTCTTTCCCTTCCAGGGATTGCAGTTGTGACTGCCTCCCCCAGTTTTGGTTGTCCACACTCAGTTCCTTATGCTTGGTCTACTGAGTCATATCCCCAGTTCCATAATTATGTATTTTTAATGTAGTGATTGGTACATGCTTAATTTATCTACTGTTAACTGAATACTTAAGTTATACCAGGTATGGCAAATAAACAAGATTTCTTGCTTTTGACATTGACATAGCTCAATATGGAAGAAAGTCATGCTCACAGTTACAATGAAGACTAGCAAGTATTGTAATGAAGAACAAAGTGTTTTACTTAGGAAAGTCATGCTGGGATTTAAAGGATAAATAAGAATTTATCACTAGACCAGCAGGTTAGAGGGTGATAGGCTAAAATGGGGATTGTTATTTGCATATGTGCAGAGGCCCATGGAGTGCTGAGAAAATACTGAGCTTAATAATGGCTGGCTTTAGTTTGGGACAGCTAGTTTAGAGTATATAATGGATAGAAAATGGTAGGAATGAGATGAGCAAGTACTTTGGGCTTCATCATACTTTTTATATGCCATTCTAAGGAGCCCAGGATTTTATTCATCCACAGTGGGCAACTATTGGCTATGCAGAGAAAGCCTGTCTTCAAAAAAAGGACAAAATGATAGCCGTTTTAGAACTGGTAGCAGTGTGGAAAATGGGATCAACTTGAGAACAGTCTAGATGTTATTGTACAACATGGGACACAAGTTTAGAGGCTGGATGGGCATGATTTAATGACAGATGGGATGTGGGGAGATGAAGGGCAGAGAGAAGAGTTGAGGGTCTTTCCCAGGCTTTGATTTTAGAATTTGAGACTGGTTTTTATCAACTATAAAATCTAGGAGATGAAAGAAGATTGTTGGACTGATAAGTCTGTAGAAATGTTGAATTTTTTTGGTTTTGTTTTTTGAGACAGTCTCACTCTGACATATAGGAATTTGGTATGTTGACTAGACTGGTCTCAAACTTTTAAGCGATCCTCTCTGCCTTTTTGCATGCTGGGATTACAGGTACATATATACTACTTATGTAGTAGCTTAGTTGAATTACCTGAAGACCTTTCTTTCAATAGAGCAGCTTTGCCTGGTGGCACGCTCTGTAATCACAGCACAGGGCAGGTGGAAGCAGGGTTGCCTCACTATCTAGCACAACACTGCTAAAACAAAACTACAGAGCAAGCAGCTAAGCTATTCCTGAGTCAGGAATGCTTCCCAAATAAATGACCATCTATGTAAAGTGTTCTGTTAGCAACTGGATGTCATCAGAACCTTTACAACCAGAACTTTTTTTCTCCCACTGGGATTGCTGAGACAGGAAACCCCAGCCTTTTTTCTGTAAGGCTGAGTTCCTGGGGGCTACTGCAGGAACTACTAAGAGAGTAAAGACTCCATTTGTCTATCACTCCTTAGTTCAGAAAGAGCTAACCTCAGAACTTACGCTTTTGGTAGTATTTCAGTTCTGATTTTGGTTACATTTTTAAAAATTGGCTCAGAATTTTAATGCATAATTTTAAATAGTTTTTAGTGGAAAATGTATTTTATTCTTTTTTTTAAAAATTTTATTTGTTTATATGTGTCTCTGTATCTGTTGATGTCATCAGGAGCCAGAAAAGGGCATTGGATCCCCTGAAGCTGTAGTTCTAGGCAGTTGTGAGTTGCCTGACATGGGTGCTAGGATTTGAGCTACCATCCTCTAGAAGAGCAACAAGTGTGCTTACCCACCGAGCCATATCTCCATCTCTGTATATATAATTATCAATAGAGAAATGAACTTTTCTTGACTTAGTACATAGTATTATTTTTAACTTCAGGCCAAAATCCTAAGACTTATTGTCATGTCCCACATCTAACCCATCAAGGTCACTTTGTCTCTTGTGACAGTCTGACCTGTAACCATTTCTCATCTCTCACCATACTGTATACCAGCCCCTGATTGGTTGCATAGCTTCCAGGTTCAGTTTCTCTGTAGCAAACTTAGATGGAAATAAACAGGTCAGATGAGGTCTCTGTAAATAGCTTTCTATTAGGATAAAATTAAGCACCTGCCCGTGAGATCCTAATCTACGTGTTGTGACCCTTGTATGTCTGTCTGCTTCACTTCTGGCTTCCTCATTGTTGACTCTGCTCTAGCTGCACTGCCCCCTTTGTCCAGAAGACAAGCTCAGTCTTGTCTCGTTCTGCTTGGATTACTCCTCCCTGGTCGTGGGTCTCATTTCTAGTAAGATTATGCTTCGCTCTTTCACTATTCTAGTTTTGTGTGGGTTTTTTTTTCATACTTGTACCCTTGTTTGAAGTGATTTAAGTACTTGATGACACTTCCCTTTTATTGTAGTATAAGAACTTAAGTAAAATCTTTTTTTTTTTCATTCCTGGATTCTCAGACTCTGGAGTACTCACATAGTAGGGATTTAATTCTCAATATATAATAGCTTCTAAGATTTTGGATCATCTTTAGACTTTATTGGCAGGGACTGACAGGAATTCTATGAAAGCATACAATGCTTGAAAGTTGTTATAAAGCACACAAGACCATCATCTTAAGAGTTATAAATTGAGTTCTATTAACAAATATTTTGCTGGGCAGTGGGGGGCTCACGCCTTTAACCCCAGCACTCAGGAGGCAGAGGCAGGCGGATCTCTGAGTTCAAGGCCAGCATGGTCTACAAACTGAGTTCCAGGAACAGCCAAAGCTACACAGAGAAACCCTGTCTCGAAGAACCAAAAATAAAACCCAAATAATATTTTGAAACATAATATATTGAAATGATAAAATAAGAATAAGAACTGACTACAGCCGCCCTTCAGGTGTTGGCCGAATATCACAACTCCGTGCTCTTGTTAATCACTGGTGTTGGTTAGTTTTTCCAATGTGAATTTTAGATTGTGAACCAGGAGGGTGTGATTACTCTTGCCAGTGGCTATGCATATCGACACCTCTGTCTGATTATTTTCCAGGGCACAGCTCGCAGAAAGAAGAAGGTGGTGCATAGGACAGCTACTGCTGATGACAAGAAGCTTCAGAGTTCTCTAAAGAAACTGGCTGTGAACAATATAGCTGGTATTGAAGAGGTATGAACACTTTGGGAACCCAAATTATAGCGAAATACAGTGGCACACACACAGTTCTTTTGACTTTTCCAATTAAAATGCTAGCTTGGAAAAATCTTTATTTCATGCATGTCTTTGAAAGAATATAGTGAGTGAATTTTCTCTGAGGACAAAATGGTTTTAGTAAGTAGTTAGGGATTTTCTTCAGACTTTCAGACTTAAGGTATTTGCATGTGTGGCAATTATGAAACTGTTCTTGAACTTTAATGTAAACTAAGATTTTTCTGTTTTGTTTTATACTTTTTACTGTGGGTCACTCTGTATCCTGGACTGGCCTCTAACTTGTGATCTTGCCTCCTTAGTATTTACGTTTACCCTAAATTCACTTTTCTGTACTACAAAGTCTCTATTACATTATCCAAAAACTTCTAGCTGTAGCTTTATATGAATTTGATTCCCTCCCTCTCTTTCTTATTTTGACTATTTATTTATTTTGGTATATTTGATACAAGGTTTATCTGTGTAGTCCTGGCTGTCCTGGGGCTCACTATGTAGACCAGGCTGGCCTTGAACTCGGAGATCCTCCTGCTCTGCCTCCCAAGTGCTGGGATTAAGGATGGGCACCACTACTCCTGGTTTATTTTTGGTTTTTTTTTTTAAGTATTGTCTCATTGGATAGCTGCCTCTACCACCATAATGGCTGTGATTATACTCAGCTGATTGGATTTATTAGGGCTCTTTTAAAAATAATTTTTTTTCAAAAATGATAACTTTTAAAAGTCTATTATATTAATTATTTTTTTCATTGCTATGACAAAATACTTGACAAAAGCATCATGAAGGAAGGGTTTATTTTGGCTCCTAGTCTGAGAGTACAGTTCATTATGATGCCGAAGGCCTGGCATCCAGCTGGAAATCATAGAGAAGTGAATGTTGGTGTTGGTGTGTGCGCGCGCGCTCTCTCTCTCTCTCTCTCTCTGTTTGTTTTTTTTTTTTTTTTTGGTTTTTTTTTTTTTGAGACAGAGTTTTTCTATGTAATCCCGGCTAGCCTGGAATTTAACTATGTAGACCAGACTGGTTTTGAACTCAAGAGATTTCCCTGCCTCTGCCTCCAGAATGTTGGGATTAAAGACGTGTGCCATCCCACCTGGTATCACTGAGATTTTATCTTTCTTTCTTTCTTTCTTTCTTCCTTTCTTTCTTTCTTTCTTTCTTTCTTTTCTCTCTTTCTACTTTTTCAAGACAGAGTTTTTCTGTGTAGTTTTCTTGACTGTCCTGGAATTCCCTCTGTAGATCAGACTGGCTTTGAACTCACAGAGATCTGCCTGCCTCTGCCTCTGGAGTGCTGGGATTAAAGGTGTACATCACTGCCTGTACACTGAGATTCTTAATGGATAATTACTGATAATAGAGTCCTAGAGACAAGGCATGAAGTGACAGAGTGCCCCACCATGCATACACATGCAAATGAGCAAAATTAACCTCCTTTAAATCTACTTTCACAATTAGTACTGATAAGATAGGAAATATTAGACATGCATTTTTTTTTCTCCTTTCAGCTTAAGGTGACAGAATTCTTACTTAGATAAAGATTAGGCTGTGATTTGCATGTCTAATTTCAATTTTTTTCTGAGTCGTTAAAAGCTTTTATATATTATCTTTTAAAATATTTATTTATCATGGTGGGGGCCGGTGTTGTGTGGAGATGATCAAAGGAAAAATTTTGAAAGTTGGTTATGATCTATTGTGTGGGTCCCAGGTCATCGGGCTTATTCAGGTCATCGGGCTTAGCAGCAAGCACCTTTACCTGCCTTGCCATCTCACTGGCCCCAAAGCTTTTATATATTTGCATTGACCTAAAATTTCAGACAGGCCAGGTCTGGTGACACACGCCTTTAATCTCAGCACTGGTGGGGTGGGGAGAGCAGAGACAAGCAGAGTTCAAGACCAGCCTGGTCTATAGAGCAAGTCGCAGGACAGGACTACACAGAGAAACCCTGTCTGGGGTGGGGAGGGGTGGATTTCAGACAGATACTCAATCATGTATATATTAAGAGAACAAAGACACTCCAAAACCTAAGTTCCTTCAGAGTTCTCTTGGAGGATATAGCTCAGTGGTAAAGTATTTGCCAGCATGCCTGAGTCCCTGGTTTAATCCTAACAATACCAGAAATAAATGCATAAGATTCAAAACTTAGGCCCATTTAATCTTTCCATCCTCTCTCTGCAGTGATTCTCAAGTCTCAGGTGTAGAAGTGCGTTGTAGATGTAACCACTAGGACTGTGCTATTTTGATTGGTTATGGTTTTCTGTAATGGCCTTCCTGTGCTGCAAAGACATGTTTCCATAATGGGAGATGAGGACTATACTCCCTGAGGGTTTAAGGACAAATATTTAGAGTGTAGTTAAGGGTTGTACTGGTTTTGGAAGTGGTCATTGTAGGTTCTTCTCCTAAATCCTTGAGTTCACTAGGTGTCCAGAGCCAGGAATGGTTTCACTCTGAGTGGGACTTAAATTCAGTTGGAGAGTTTTTGGTCACAGCAAAGTTACGTGTGCTACTGCATTATTAAGGTTATCCTGCCATTGTGGTTGATGTTTTGGTTCATAATTGTCATAGCTGGCTAGGACTGCTAGAAGCGGAAGTAGTTTTCTCCAGGAAAGAGCACACAAATCGATGCTGTATGGTCATTCCTGAAAAATACATACACGTAATATACAGACTTAGTAGTTTGTGTTTATATGTTTAAGAATATATGTGTATAGGGAGTGGGAGGGTGGTGGGAGGAGGGGCGGAAATGGAAACTTTTATAATTTAATAAAATTACTTTCAGAAAAAAAGAAAGAAAAGAATATATGTGTATAATATACATATGTGTAATAAAAATTAAATCTTTTTAATAGAGATTAAAAAGTATATTTCCTTTGTAGTATAGATTAATTTGTTTTTTGAGACAGGGTCTCATTATGTAGCCCAGGCTAGCTTTCAGTAATCCTGCTACCTCAGCTTTCTGACAGCTGGGATTATAAGTGTAAGAATACCATACCCTTTTTTGTGGGGTTAACTTTATCTATGTGGTATCTCAAAGGACATGTATTTCTAAATGCTTGTTTATGTTCTAATTCAGAAGGCTTTATGGCTGTTTGTCCTGCCTCAGCTCCAGAGTACTGCTTGTGAGCCACCATGTGGGTCCTGGGAATTGAACTCAGGACCTCTGGAAAAGCAGCCAGTGCTCTTAACAGCTGAGCCACCTCTCCAGCCCCCAGAGTACTGCTTGTGTGTGTGGTGTGTGTACATGTGTGTGGAGGTTCATGATGTATGCATGTGTTTTAGTTAGGGTTTCTATTGCTGTGATGAACCACCAAAAAGCAAGTTGGGGAGGAAAGGGTTTATTTAGCTTACACTTCCACATTGCTGATTATCAGTGAAGGAAGTTAGGACAAGAACTCAAACGTGGCAGGAATCCGGAGGCAGAGGCCATGGAGGGGTGCTGCTTACTGGCTTTTTCCTCATGGCTTCCTCAATCTGTTTTCTTAAAGAACCCAGGACCACCAGCCCAGGGATGGCACCACCCCCATAATGGACTGGGCCCTCCCCCATTGATCAGTAATTGAGAAAATGCTTTACAGCTGGATCTCACGGAGGCATTTCCTCAGCTCCTTCCTCTAGCTTGTGTCAAGCTGACACAGAACCAGTCAGTGTACCATGCCTTTGTGGAAGCCATATTTTCTGTCTTGTTCCTTTGAGACAGGGCATCTTAATGAACCTGGAGCTGGGCTGGCAGCCCACTGGTTACAGTTACCAGTGCAGTCATGCCCAACTTTTTATATGGGTCTTGGAGATTTGAACTCAGGTCTTCATGCTTACAATGGCAAGTGATCTTACTCACCTAACCATCTTTCCAGCTCCGGTGGCCCTTCAAATTACAATTTATTAAAATAAATGTTTCATAGTGAAATAAGGACACAATAATTTGATTTTTGTTTTGAGGTATTGGAAATTCAACCCAGGGCTAGGCAAGTACTCTATTACTGAGCTGTGTCTTCAGCCCTAGTTAGTAATTGTTGATCTCTTTAAACTGCTATAAAACTTGTAATGCTGTGCTAAGGTCATGGGTCTGTTGTAACTGAAATTGTCACACTAAAGCACTTAATGGTAGTCAACACCCCGTGCATTTGTACTGTGTACTAACCATTTTCCCAGAGGTGGTGCAGAAAGTGCTATTCATAGCCTCTGTCATTTCTAACTTATAATCTTGTGGGAAACTGTTAGGCGGCTAGCCATATAAATATGTATCACTCCCTCTCAGCTTCCTAGCTCCTGCTGAGTTAATGTTACAGATGAAAGCGGTAGTGCTTGCAGCATTCCACCAGCCTGTGGGTCACAGATAACAAGGACTGGAATTCTAGATCTGAACTAAGAAATGTTAGAAACATGAGTTCATACTATGATAAGCTAGCTAACTGATCTTTTCAGTTGTATTTTCTTATTTTTAACCTTTTCCTCTCCTCTTCCACATTACTCCCCCACCACCACCACCCCCCATAAATGTAAACCCGTCTTATGGCCTGGGTTATACAGCACCTACAATGGATAATTCAGTATTAGTGACATTATGGATAAAAGAAATCCCCCTTAGTGTTTCCAAGGACATTGCCATTTCTTTATTCTTTTAAATCTTCATGTAGAAGTGATTTCTTCAAAGAAGTCTTTTGGGTAGCAATCAGACTTTTTTCTATTTTGTTTTTATTTTTATTTTTCGAGACAGGGTTCCTCTGTAGCTTTTCAGAGCCTATCCTGGAACTCTCTCTGTAGACCAGGCTGGCCTCAAACTCAGAGATCCACCGGTCTCTGTCTCCCAAGTGCTGGGATTAAAGGCGTGCACCACCTCCATGCAGCTACAATCAAACATTTATAGAAAGAAAGAAAAGTTATATATTCTCTCTCTTTCTGCCTTCCTCTCTTTCCCCCTCCCATGTGAGTATGTGTGCATGTACACACATGCATTCATATTGTGGGAATCAAATTCAGTACTTCATGCATACTAGCTAAGTATTCTATCACTGAATTACTCTTAGCTCTTACATACTTTTATTATAACATCTGTTAAACTGTGTTGTTAATTCCTTTTGTTGATATTGTCATTCCAGTTCTTTTTTTTTTTTTTAAATACAAGGTCTTGCTATGAAGAACAGATTGTCCTCAAATTCACAGTCTTCCTCCTTAACTTTCCAAGTATTGAGCTAAGATTAAAACCACACACCACCACTACCACTTAGTCCTAGTTTCTTGAGGAGTCACAACCCCAGGACTACACAGAGAATTAGTGCTCCCTATTATATGCGTGCACACTCTTACCACTTCCTGTCCATTTCCAGCATTATCTGCCTGTCTTCACAAACTCTATGTATAAGAAAATATACATGAAATAATTATACAAAGTAGCAACTGTAAAGTTTTCAGTTACTTGAACCAACAAGATGAAAAGGTTTTACTTTTTTTTCTCTTTCTGAAGTTGATCTTTTCAGTAGCAAGACATTTGCTTACATAACTTTTGCAGATTTGAAATAGTTTTGTTTAGGGGCTGGAGAGATGGCTCAGTGGTTAAGAGCATTGCCTGCTCTTCCAAAGGTCCTGAGTTCAATTCCCAGCAACCACATGGTGGCTCACAACCATCTGTAATGAGATCTGATGCCCTCTTCTGTACTAAGAATACTGTATACATAATAAATAAATAATTAAAAAATATTTTTGTTTAGAAGCATGTAGAATACTATATATACCATGATTTATTCATGTAGTTTTGGGTTAAATACAGCTTCTTGTGAGGGGAAGGGAAAAAAGCTCTACAGCATTACATGCATGCATGGAAAGCATGTAATGGGCTGGTTGTGGAGACCCTTGCCTTTAATCGGGCATGCATGAGGCAGAGTTAGGTGGATCTCTCTGAGTTTGAGGCTAGCCTAGTATACATAGTGAGTTCCAGGCTAGCCAAGGCTACATAGTGAGACTCTGACTAGAACAAAGCAAATCCTATAACGATTTTCAGGAACACTATGACCAGAGAGTCTGCCTAGAGTCTGTCTTAGAGTAAGAGAAATTCATTAATTACAAGTTGGAGGCCTGTAAGATGGCTGTCCTTTGTCTGTATGTATACATTGCATGACTTAAACACACATGAAATGTGTACAAGTTGCTTTGTGAATTCTCCGGCCTAAAAAAGCAGAAGAACCAATCTTGTTTAGCCCTGTATTTCATCCTTTGATTGTTTCTCACAGCTTGTGCCCAGGAGCCTTACATAACTGCCATTTGCTTAGTAGGGTAGAAGGAAAACACAACAGAAATGAAATATTCTGGTCTTTTTATTTTCTAGTATTGCATTCTCTGTTTTCTAAGATTAACTTTCCACTCTTCTGGACCTTTCTATTCAAGCAGCTGCTTTCTTTATTCCACCCCATTTAAAACAATCATGAATAAATTTACCCATGGTCTGAAATAGAGCTCCTCTCACTTGTCACCCTCAAGTGTGACAGACAGCATTATACTGAGGAGACATGTATCAGGATGTCCACTACAACTCAGTCTGCAGCCTCTGGGAGAAAAGCCCAGACAGAAAGAAAATTGAAAATCCAAAAGATATGATCCTCCGTGTGTGTGTGTGTGTGTTCTCCACATATCTGTAATATTTCTTTTTCATGTGACCTATATTCTGAGGCAAATGTTTGACAAGCTTGCATAGAATTGGAGTTTTACATAAACAAGTGAATGTTTTAAGCGTGAGGATGGCACAGTAGGAAGGAAACCAAATAGTAAGTTGAGAAACTCTAGTTCATTTCAAGTACTTAGTTCATACTTAACCAGCTGTCCTGGGGTATAGTGTTTACCAAGAGCACTGTTCTCTGTATTTACTTCTCTAGCATAAAAAATAATACAGATTTCAAATCAGTTATGATTTTAATGTCTGTAAGTCAAGAATGTCTCAAATTCCAATCTTACCATTTTTCATGCCCAGAGTGTTCATAGAAATCCTTTACTGAGTCATGTGATTTAGGAAACACTGGTACCATTCTTCCTTTATTCTTGTTTCTTGCTAAACCATGGGACTCCAGAGTAGATCAAGGCAATTCCCTTGATATCCACGGTTACCTCCCAGGTCTCCAAGGCTTTTAATGCCTTTTTGTTTGTTTGGTTGGTTGGGTTTTTTTTTTTTTTTTTTTGGCCTCAAACTCACAAAGATCCACCAGCCTCTGCCTCCTGAGGGCTGGCTTTTAACTACTTTAACATTTAACTTTTCTACTAAAGCTGTAGTCATCTTCAGAATAAAAAATTTATCTTCGAAAGTTGTTCTAAATTGAGTTATGATACCATTTCTCTAAAGCAGCAATATTGAATGTTTATTGCATATGATATACTTAAAAGAACCTAAGATAAACTGGGCGTGGTATAATACACAATTTTAATCTTAACTCTTGGGTGGCAGAGGCTGGTAGATTTCTATAAGTTCAAGGCCAACCACGGCTACATAGTGAGACTGTCTTTAAAACAAACAAAACAAAACAAAACAAAAAGATCTCCTCAGATACAGTCCAGTGCAGTGCCAAAAAAAGGAAGGATATGAGATTAAAGCCTTTTTTTTTCCTTTTCCTTTTTTTTTGAGATAGGGTTTCTGTGTGTAGCCCTGGATGTTCTGGAACTAGGTCTGTAGACCAGGCTAGCCTTGGACTCACAGAGAGACCCCACCCCCCACCCCGCCACCACCTCTGCCTCCAGAGTAGGGGACAAGCATAGTAGTTCTGTAACTCTCCTGACCTTATATAATAAGTATTTATCACCAAGGTGACTTTTATAGTGGAATCAATCACATGGTGGAATATTTACACATTTAACTTGTGTAAATGAGATCATACCAAACCAAAAAATTGAGAAAGGAAATACATGAGAGAAAAATAACAATGTCAATAGCAAGCTCAAGACAGTGAAATAATCAGATCTGATTGGTAAAAGCTAAAGAAATAATGGCAGGATGATGTTAAAGGCCTCCTGGTTATTAACATATCATTTCCTGGAGGGTGAGTGAGTGGGAGAGCTTTGTTGACAGAAATTAGTGAAGGTAGTGAGAAGGTATATTTAAGAATTAAAGAAAATTGTCAGGCCTGTAGGCGCAGGTTTGTAGTCCCAGATACTTAGAAGATTGAGGCTAGAGGATCACAAATTCAATGCCAGCCTGGCAACTCAGTAAGAATTTTATCTCAAAGTAAAAAGTAAAGAACTGGGGATGGATTTAGTTTAATACCTGGAATACCCAGAGTACCCCAGAACAGAGCGTGCAAAACAAACTAGCAACATGCCTGTAGCCCCAACTACTGGAGGAAATCACAAGACCCTTGTGTCTGATTTAAAATAATAATAATAATAATAAGTGGTGGGCAAGATACTCTTCAAAAGCCTGATGACCTGCATTAGATCCTCTGACCTCAGCATGTGCACTCCTCAATATGCACATATACAATAATAAAAATATCTTTAAAAAGCCAGGTGGTGGTGACACATGCCTTAATCCCAGTACTTGGGAGGCAGAGGCAGGCAGATCTGTTGAGTTACAGGACAGCCAGGGCAACACAGAGAAACTCTGTCTCAAACAAATAAGCAAAAAAGTGGTCTTGAACTTCTTCCACCTTGAGGCCTGGGTGACTTTCTTAACAGTTCTAGTAATCTTGGCTCCACTGCAAGGATCTTTCTATGCCATATTCACTACTGAGCTAATTACTGCTATGGGATTGCTACTGTGTAAAATGCCATAATTGATAGAAATGTTTTTAAAGCTATTTTTAGTTGAATATAGCATGTGAAATTCATTGTTTTCTGTGCCCATGCAGGTGAACATGATTAAAGATGATGGAACAGTTATTCATTTCAACAACCCCAAAGTCCAAGCTTCCCTCTCCGCTAACACCTTTGCAATTACTGGTCATGCAGAAGCCAAACCAATCACAGAAATGCTTCCTGGAATATTAAGTCAGCTTGGTGCTGACAGCTTAACAAGCCTTAGAAAGTTAGCTGAGCAGTTCCCACGGCAAGGTATGTATTTCAAGTCAGTACTTTCCCCTCTTCCCTGCTTTAATTAAGAAACCTAATAATTTTAAAAACATCCCATCTGAAACTGAGGATGTAGCACAGTTGACAGAGTACTAGCCTATTATGCATAAGTTTTTGGTTTGATCCCTAGCAGTAAATAAACTGGATATGATGGCATATGCTTGTAATTCCAGCAGAAGGATCAGAAGTTCAGGGTTGTTCTCAGCTGTTTAGGGAAGTTGAGGCCAGCCTGTGCCAAAGACCCTGTCTCAATCAATCAATCAATCAATCAATAAAAGTGTCTTACTTATGGGGCTGGAGAAATAGCTCAGCGGTTAAGAGCACTGACTGCTCTTCCAGAGGACCCGGGTTCAATTCCCAGCACCCACATGGCAGCTCACAACTGTCTGAAAATCCAGTTCCAGGGGACCTGACACCTTCACACCAATACACATAAAATAAAAGATAAATAAATCATAAAGTTTTTAAAAAAAAAGTGTCTTACTTAAACTGAGAGAATTTGCCTCAGTACATACTTCTTATAATTTCTATATTGCCACTTATGTGCTTCATAAAACTTGTAGTTTGCTTTTTTAACTAATAAGTGTGTATTATAGAATATTTAGATACAGTATTATCAATTGCTACTATGATTACCATTACAAATATGGTAATCATAAATTCTGAATTTCCGAGTTGGTGTTGATTTCATGCATGTCTTGTCTCTAACCATCAAAAAGTCTTGTAGTTCAGTGGTCACGTGATCATACTGCATAGCTAGTTACTTAGATCAAATTAAGTGGAAAAGAAGTCTCACCTATTTTTATATGAAGAATACCTTTGCTCAAGCTTCTCAAATTCTTCATTTTGCATGTAACTTTTACCTTTACTGCACAGTGGAATTAATTTAAAATTCAGTTTTTAAATGCTACTTAAGCAAAAAAACAGAAGTAAATTTTAGATTAACTGTACTTAATAGCCATAGGAGATTTGGACAGAGAGACAATAAGTATTAGAGGTGTTCTGTGAAGCTCTGTGTTCTCAGTGACTAATACTCATATAAACTTTTTATAGTATTGGATAGTAAAGCACCAAAACCAGAAGACATTGATGAAGAAGATGATGATGTTCCAGGTAAAAGACATTTTGTTAGTGTTTAAATTTGTCTCCAACCAGTAAGACTGTTCTAGTAAAAATGCTTGGTGCCAAGTCTGGCAATTTGAATTTCTTCCCTGGGACCCACATTGTGGAAGGAGAGAGCCAACTTGCACAAGTTGTCTCTGACCTCACACACACACACACACACACACACACGTACATAAAACTAAGAAAAAATAATTTATCTCCTTTCACTTATTGCATAGATGACTTTCAGAATTTTTCAGACTGAATTTCATTTGATTTACAGTGATATGGATAGTGTTAGGTTGCTAGTTAGACATTAGCTGGCTTGGAAGACACTGGAGATGGAACCCTCCCTCATAATCATCAGCCTGTAAAACCAAGGAGTGGAATTTCAGGTCAGAAAATGTTCCCTAAGCCCTATCCCTGGCCATGGGAGAGACGTGACATCCTGAACTGTCATTATATAATACTATCTAAGCCTGGTTCCAGGAATGCTAACCCTTATCAAAGACTATTGTATTATCTGATAGAGAACCAAAGACACACAATTGCCTTCTATCAGTGTCAAACCAAACAGGGCTGTCACTTACCTGAACAGAACAAAGTCTCTCAAGAAAGGCTGTTGTTGGCCAGTTGGCGGTGGTGCATGCTTTTAATCCCAGCACTTGGGAGGCAGAAGCATGTGGATCTCTGTGAGTTCAAGACCAGCCTGGTCTACAGAGTGAGTTCCAGCCAGAGCTGTTGTACAGAGAAACCCTGTCTTAAAAAACCAAAGGGGGGCAGAAAACAGGGGGGGAGGGGGCAGCGGGAGAGGAGAAGAGAGAAGAAAGTAAAGAAAAGCTATTTGTTCTGGAGATTTCAGAATAATATACAACCTGCCTAAAATGTAGTCTGAGTCAATGGCCCCTCAAGCATTGTCCACACTTATCATACTGACCCCTTGAGCGTGTACTCTACTTTATTATAAATGAATGTACTGGTCTTTTATGCTGTTTCTTTGTGTTTCTGTCTGAGTTCTCTAGACAGAGATCACAAAGACCAGGGAGTCAGACTGAAATCCCAGTGATAGGATATAACGAATAAAAAAGAATCAGAACTTAGAATCAGAAAATATTCCATAAAGCTCTGTTGCCTGCATGTATTAAATTGAAATCACTCTTTATTATCAGTATACATTATTATTGTTGAAATTTTTTGTTGGAGGGCTGGATAAATGGCTCAGCTATTAAGAGCACTGGCCTCTCTTCCTGAGGACCTGGGTTCAATTTCCAGCACTCACATGGTGACTCACAGCCATCTGTTACCCCAGTTCTAGGGGATCTAGCACCCCCTTTTGATCTCCCCAGGTACTGCATGCACATGGTACACAGCCATACATTCAGGCAAAACACATAAAATACACATAAAATAATAATTTTTAAAAATTGTTGGCATTAAGCTGACATAAAAAAATGTTTCACCTTAGTATTTTTACATTTTTAAAGTCCCATTTCCTTAAGATTGCTGTTTATAAAAGTCGTTATTACTGAAATGCCATTAGTTCATTTCTGCCTTTTCTGTTTTTTAACTAATTCTAGTTGCAACTATTTTGACTCATTTGCATTTTATTTATTGTTTTCCTTTCTTCTTTTTGTCAGATCTTGTAGAAAATTTTGATGAAGCATCGAAAAATGAAGCTAACTAAAATCTTCTGGGTTTTGGAAGCTGGCATGGACTAGATTTAACAATCAGCTCTGTTGTTCCAAAGTTTTACAGACATGGAGAACATCATCTGTTACTAGTTCAGTAATATAAATATTTTGTATATTAATAATGCTGTTTGATCAGCATTTCTCGGTCATTTGATTTTGCATTTTGCACTTCCCAGGATCTATTCTTTTGGTCAAATATGAAGTATTGATACACTTTGAGGGTGGTTTTTTGCTTTTGGGGGGGAACTTTTGGGTGTGTATGTATATGTATGTGTGTGGGTATGTGTGTACACGGTGGACAGAAAATTGGATAACAGTTATATCTATCCTCTTCCTTCCCCCAATAGAAATAAAACAAATCTTTACATTTGTTACTTTTTTTCCTAATACTGTACAAAATTGATGAAGAGAGTTTCTTTGATTTCAGATCTTAAGAGATTCCCACTGTTGGAAGTTTGGTTTTAATTTGCTCAGTTAACTTTAATATTTTTATACACTTCTCTGGATTGAAAATATCTTGAAATATTTTACCACCAGATTGCTGCCAGAATCATAAATTGGGTACCTTTGGTGTGGCTGCCTTAGACTCACTTCCTCATCAGACCCAGAAATGCTCCTTTTATTAGCTTTCTTTCTGCTGCCCCCCACCCCCTTATTTTGGTCTTCAAATGGTCTTATCTCCTGCTTAGCTTGAGACAGAAGTTCTCCATATAGAGTTGAGAGAATGCCTGACCTCTCTTTTGTCCTCACCTCAAGAGACAGCTTCATCTTCAGTGTTTCATTTCCCTTCACATTTATGGTTTGGTAGATCTCAAACTGAAAGAGCTAGCATGTGCTTACTAAATAACTATGCCAGGCTTATCCTCTTTCCTTGCTGTTGTCAGTAGCAGGTGTAAAAGTGTCTCTTTTTCAGCAAGGCTGAAACTGGGACTGTCGTTTGGAATGAAAAGAACTTAGGCTATAGACCTGTCTCCTAGCATAAATGGGCATTCTCTGAAACGGTACTGGCCACAGGAGAATTTCTTCAGCCACTCTCCTATTCTTGGTCCTGAACTTACCTCTGGGTAGATCTGATTGATTGTAGCTACTCATAACACCCTCCTGCATGTTGAGAATAATGCTTTGGGGGGAGCAGTGGTAAGACACAGTATTTATTTGCTTACCTCCTTTCAGAGGACTTGGAGGTAAGTTACATTTATTCACTCAGGTTTTCCTCTTGCTGTCTGATAAAAGCTTGTGTTATGCATATCAGCATTTATTATAGCTAGTATTTTAGGATAAGGTTTAAAGAATCTATTATTTCCTGGCCCATCACCAAACTAACTGCCCCTTAACCTTGCAGCATGCCAACTTTTGTTTCAAGCTAGATACCTTTCCTTGATACTTAAGATGCAAGACCAACAGCATACTGAGAGATCTATAGACATGAAGGCAAAGCTCCTGTGTTTTTTTACACAAACATTTTCAATTTATTTTAAAACTTTGTTGATTTTTTTTCTGTCATGTTTTATATAATATATGGACTTAACAAAATAAATAACAATAATAAAATAACAGTACAGAAGAGGAGACTACTTCCTCTAGTGCTTCTGTTACTTGTCTTCAGTTCCGTCTTTCCTATTCTTCCTTTACTCTCCATACGCAAGTGAATTCTCATATCATTGTTTAAAATAATCTCATCCATTGTTAGGTCAGTGTCTGTACCTACTCTGTAATTACTCCAGAATTTTGTTCCTCTAACTGCCCAAAGGAGCAGAGAGCAGTGAGCAGTGTAGTAGATGAACAGAGAGTGTATCTGGAAGTGAGGAAATGTGTGTTCTGCTCCAGATTCTGACATGTGGCCTTAACCACTCACATCACCAAACTACTCTAAATCCCATCATCAGTACAGTACGGTATTTCCGAGTGCAGATTTTTTTCTACTCTTGCAGTTCTGTGAATCTCATTTTGGGAATTCTCTAAGAAGGGATTTTGTCATCTGTTAAGGGTATCTTTATTTTCTTACTGTTTTATGTGTATGGATGTTTGCTTACATGTACGTCTGTGTACCATGCACGTTTTTTTGGTACCTAAAGAGACCAGAAGAGGGTGTCTGATACCCTGGGACTGAAGAAAATGACAGTTTTTAAGATAATCTCACAGATCTGCTGTAGAGGACAACTCTAAAAGCCATGGTTTGTTGCTGTATTCAGAGCTACAATATGAGTTATGCCCAGCTCATAGTACTTTCTAAGCCTCTGTTTCCTCTGTAAAATGAATTTTAAGATGTAAGCAGAGGTCTTGGAATCTGCCTGAGTAAGGCGAATGTGCATTTCTTCCAAAGTATGGCAGAAAGTTATTTTCTAGGCTGTTAACTGTCCTCAGTGCCAACTGTATGGGTTGCCTTGACACACAGCTTACCTGGGTTAATAAGCCTCCTTATTAGTCTTTGTTGTGATTAATTCCCCCAGTATTTTACACAGAAGCCAGGCTACCTAAAGTTCATATCTGAATGTGTCACACCTCTATATTCACTTCCAGCATCCATACTGTTGCAATAGTACAGTATGTACTGTCATCCAGATTATTAACATATTGATAGATGTCATTTTGTCTCCAGCATCCTGCAGAATGCCCCACATTTACTTGAGAACTCGACATTTACTGACTACAAAATTATTTTATTCAATTCTCAATTTAGTGGAACAGGCATTGTCTGAGTTTTAAAGAGGGAACTAAGAATAGAGGAATTACCAAAGGTCAAACTAATCTGTAGAACTAATGTTCTTATATAGAACTATTGAATTCCATATGCTCCAAAAACCCTTTATTTTGTTATTTGAAATACTGGAGTTTGAACCTAAAGCCTCAGGCATGCTATTCAAGGGCTGTACTGTTCAATTTATCTTTAGCCTAACAATTACGTATTGAAATGAAAAGTATGCATATAACCATTAGTCAGATATCAAATTAGGATTATTTGGTTTGTTTTTGTTCTTCGAGACAGGGTTTCGGTGTAGCCCTGGCTATCCTGGACTCACTCTGTAGATCAGGCTGGCCTAAAGCTCACAGAGATCCACCAGCCTCTGCCTCCTAAATCCTGGGGTTAAAAATTTGTACTATCACTGCCCAACTAAGAGCAAGCACTTTTAAATGCCAAACTACCTCTCCAGTCTGATTTTCTTTTTTAAAAACATGCTGAATAGCTGAATCATTCCTCAATTGGTTAAGTGCACCCTACCACAAGCCTAGCTGTCACTGGCGACTGGAGAGTGGCCTTGAATCCAGCCTTTCTCCAGGTCTTGATTTTAAGAGCCTTGAGCGTACTGAGCAAAGTCAGATAGCCAGGCACCAAGTCCTAGCCCCACGGTGTCACAAGTGCTAGAAAATAACCAAATAAGTCTCACAGAAAAGAATCATCATCCTATCCTTGTGTGTTCTAGACAAGATTGGTTGCCAGTACATTAAGAAATCCAGCTCATATTCACAAGACAAGCCTAGATAAGGATCCAGGGTATAGGTCAGTGGTAAAGTGTACGCGTAGCACTCATGGATCCTAGTAAGCATGCATACCCATGCACACATGCTTAGATAGCTTTGTCTATAGTGTAACTTCACCTCAGCCTTAGACGATCAGACTAAGGCCAGAATAACCAATCCATACAATAAGCTGGACTAATCCATTTATTTCTAAGGGTTTATAGTTTTGTTTAAATAGATTGACTACGATGATGTACCCTTGAACTGAAGCACAGACAGGCTGTGTGGAAGCTGGTAAGAATAAAACATAATAGGCAACAGGATGGTGGCAGCACATGCCTTTAATCCTAGTACTCGGGAAGTAGAGGCAGGCAGATCTTTGTGAGTTTGAGGCCAGCCTGCTCTACAAGGGCTAGTTCCAGGACAGGCTCCAAAGAGACTGTCTCGAATGAATGAATGAATAAATAAATAAATAAATAAATAAATAAGCAACCCTAGTGAAAGAAGAGCCTCAGACAATCCCTATAGTTTCTGTTCCTAGATGTCTAGCTGTACTTTGTTTCTGATTCTGAGTTGCTTACTGGCAGGATTTTTGTGTTCTTGAAACACTTCCTTCTGCCACTGTCAAAGCTAGCTTGAGGACTGAGTTCCTAGCAATTAATGATCCTAGAAGAAGGACATTTGAATACCCTCTACAAGACTCTATGGAAGGGCTGGCATGTGGCTTGTAAATCTGAGACCAGATGAGTTTGAAGCCAGCCTGGACTACCAAAAGAAATCCTGACTGGGAGTGTGTGGTGCAGTCGTAAAGCCACTGGCCTAGCATGTGTGAGGTCAGCATGAAAAAGCTTCTTTGAAATGTTCAGTCACAAGTGCTTCAAATAAGGATAGAGTTGGAATAGATCAAAGAAGAAATTGCATGTATTTTTTTTTTTTTTAGTGTGAGGAAAACCAAATTTGGGGTGCCAGCAAGTGACTCCATATGCACATCTTAGTTCTACAGCCCTTTATGTGCCTTCATTGGTTTGTTTGCTGAGATAACATGGCACATAGTGGGTACTTAGTAAATACTGGATTTTATTGGTGAAGAACGACTACTATATGTTTTCATCAATATTAGGGAATGGTTTAGTCCAGTTTGCAGTATTCACTGGTCCAGACAGACCTCACTAGGTGGGCTGGAATTTGTGATCATTTTGCCCTAGCCTCAATCTCAAAATTGTGTCATCACACCTGGTTTGCAATATATACTAGTTAAGAACTTGTTCTTGAGTGTCTTCCCCATTTTGCCTCCCGCCCCCAAATCCTGCAAAATGTCAGAGGAAGGAAAAGTAATGCAAATAGAGTAAAATTGAACTCTGGGCTTCTCAAGAATAATTATTAAGTTTTATTTCTTTGTCTACAGCTTTCAGCACAGGGACTAGCATATGTTAAGCACCTATCAGGTAAACTTTGAATCAGTTGTAATCTGTGAACTATGTATTTGAGCCAGATGGCTAGAGGTTTTACAGTGTCATTCTCTATTCAAGATGCCTCAGATATGATAAAAGTCTGCCCAGGCAATGGTGTTAAGTCATATTCAGCCAATAGACCAAGTAATGGTGTTAAACCCTATTCAGCCTTGAATCTTTCTTACTCTGGGTCCCATCCCAGGTTACTAGTCTCTGTATCAACTGACAAAGGGGCCCATAGAAGTATTCCAAATGGAAAACCTGCCATCTCTAAAACCCAGAGGAGCCTAGAAAATGTACTTGCTGGTGTTCATAGGTGGAAATGGCTGTTCTTCACCCTGGAGGGTATGTTCTGTAATGCCCAGATCACTGAACCCCTCAAAACTGGTGTGTCAGGTCTCTGACTCTGTAAATTTCTCTTTCATGCCTTAGTGTGCCCTCCACAGTAGTTAACACTGCTTATTAGGTCAATAATTCCAATAGCATTGAAACACTAGACTGATGTAATGTTCTGCAAAATGCCAAACTATTTGACCCTTTGCATTCAAAGTGACAAAAGGCATGTGAACATTAATTTTAGAACAAGATTATGATTGTATACTGCTACCATCCTACTATAGTCTTTTTCTAGACAGGTGTGGAAAGAGCACATTTGCCAAATCCCTGGCTGTCTGTCAGGTAACTGAGCTATGTTAAGTTTCTCTACATTGCATGTGGAACAGCAATTATAGTTGTATTCACTACTTACCAACTTGGTAACTTGTCATCTGTTATATCCCTCAGTTTCCCAGAATCCAGACTTCTGAAGTGAATGGGAATATGACAAGTACCATTGTATTCATTCTCAATTCCACTCCTATCCCTATTCCCTACCTTGCTCCCCGTTTTTCTCCCCTTTCCCATCCCCATGGTGGTTTGCAACTCTACATGAAGAGCAGGCAGCCTTGAAGTGATTCTTCTTTCATCCTGAGGACCGGGGTTACATGCCTGTGCCACCACACCTTGGATCCATTCTTGTGTTCTTAAAATGTTGGGGGAGGCATTAAATTTTGTCACTCCACATGATATGACAGGTTTTGATTTAGTGTGTTGGGTATTGTCAGGACAGTTTTAGAAGCTTCCACTCCACTTGGCCTCTCTTACAGCATGTCTGAGTTACATCCCCAGTCCGCATTCTGAGTCTTCTGATTGCTTTACCATAGTTTCCTATGGAGTTATGGTACTCTCTGCTTCAATGTGGACTAGGCTTGTCATTTTCTACAGCTTCAAAAAAGCATCCTTTAGTTTCTGCTTCAATAGCACACGCACTGACAATAGGATGAGAAGGGGTTATGACAGCCCCAGAGAAAGGATAGCACAGGGTTCATGGAACACTCCATATTTTTTATTTGGTTTTTTTTGTTTGTTTGTTTTTCAGAACAATGAAACTTGATTTTTTTTCTTTTTATTTATTCTTCTCTCATACAATGCATCCCAACCATAGCATCCCTTCCACTCCCCTTGTCTCCCAGAAGAGGTGAGGCCTCCCAGGGACACCAACCAAACATGGCATAACAAGATCCTCTGTAAGAGCGGTACATGCTTTTAACTGCTGAAACATCTCTCCAGCTCCCTTGGTTCCAGGGATTCAATCTCAAATCCTCATGCTTGCACAGCAATTGCTCTTGACACACTGAGCCATCTTCTCGGCCCAAAAGACTGTAATTAAACACATAGATAAATAGTGAGGATTGAGGGAAGAGAAGCTAAAAGTGACCCTGTCTTGGTTTGCGTATTTGTTACTGGGATAAAACATGACTAAAGATAACTTAGAGAGGAAAGGCTTCACTCATCCTTACGGCATCCATTCCATCAAGAAGGGAGGCAGGAACTGGGGCATGCTTCTTAGCTTGCCCTCCATGGCTTGTTCAGCCTGCTTATAAGACCCAGGACCATCTGCCCAGGTTGACACTGCCCACAGACAGTTGGGCCCTCCTTCATCAATCACTAACTAGGAAAATGCCCCACATACTTTCCTACAGGCCAATCTAATGGAAATGTTTTCTCTTCCCAGATTACCTCAGTTTGTATCAAGTTGACAAAACAAAAACCTAACCAGCACTGACCCCTGAGGGAAGTTGAGTGTTTGAGGACATGAAGAAACAGGAATTGTCAAGGCATAGTGAGACTGATCAGAGAAATGGAAGCAAATGAGAGCATGCAGTCGTGTAGGGTGAGGAGAGAAATGTTCCCTATGCTGCTGCTGCAAGGGCAAGGAAAAAGTCAGTTGGAAGTTGGCTGAGCCAGCTAGAAAAAAATAGCCATCCTTTGACTATTTTGCTTGTTCTGGTGTTCCCAGTTTACCACACGTATACCTATGCTTTCCTTGATATAAATTTGTACAGTAACAAGAATTCACATTCACGTTAAGGACTTTGCTGTGCTCATTTCCTACACTTGGTTTCATTTATTCGGTATGAGGTCAGTATTAGTGGGGAAGGGTCATCTCCTTTACTATTAACACTACTAATATTCACTGTATTGTGAAGCCCTGAACAGGCAAAACTTCACTAAGTGAATTAGTCAAAGTTCACAGTAAACAGAAAAGGCAGAAAGCAGAAGCCATGAAGAAACAGAGAGGACAATGAAGGAGAAAATTTTATTGATAGCTGCAAAACCAGGAAAAGTAGACAGTGGTAGTGTCTACTTTTGTATCGAGTTTTCACCATAGGGGGAGGGATGTCCACTGCTGTCCAATGGTTAATAAGACAGCTTATTGGAGTAGAACTCTTCCCAGATGCGAATCTGCCTTTCAGTTCCCTGTCTATAGTCAGGACCTCTGGTAAACAAGCTGAGTCAGAGGTCCCTCAGAGCATGCACTTAGGAGTCACACCTTAAGGGTACTCAGTGCTCCTGCAGAGGACGGAAGCTCAGTTCCCTGAACCTGTATCAGGTAGCTCACACTTTCCTATAGCTCCAGTTCAGGCACCCTGAGAGCCTTTGGCCTTTAGTGGGCACCTGTGAATGTACATACCCACATACAGAAAGATACAGACACAATTAAAAATATTTTTTTAAGCAAACAGGGAAGCTAAAGATAAATACCTGAGAGGACTTGAGGGTACATGATGGAGCAGAGGAAGAAGATGGTTGTAATAAAGATGAAATAGAATTCTCAGGCTGGAAAGATGGCTCAGCAGCTATAAGCACTTGCTGCTGCTCTTCCAGAGGACCCAGGTTCAATTCCCAGCACTCACATGACAGCTCACAACTCTCTGTAACTCCAGTACCAGGGGATTCAACACCTTCATATAGACATATATGGACACAAAACCATGAATGCACATGAAATAAAAAATTAAAAAAATAGAATTCTCTATGTTCCTAAGAGAGTCAAGAACCAATAACCTTTAAGAATCATTCCAGAATTGAAGCAAATAGATGTGAATTCTGTGTCCCTCACTGTGGTTGGTTATTTTTTACTCTTGGTTCTTGACTCTTTTGGGTGCTGGCCACCCAGTTCCCAAATAAACTCACATGGAGACTTATTCTTCTTTATGAACACCAGACCTTAGCTTGGCTTGTTTCTAGTCAGTGTTTCTTAAATTATCCCATCTATCTTTTGCCTCTGGACTTTAACCTTTCTCTACTTCTGTATATCTCTTCTTTCGCTCTTACTACGTGGCGTCTGTGTGGCTGGGTGGCTTGCCCCTTGCATCATCCTCTCCTTGTTCTCTTTCTTTTTCCTTTCCCCAGATTTCTCCTTCTACTTATTCTCTCTGCCTGCCAGCCCCGCCTATCCTTTCTCCTCCCTAGTTATTGGCCAGTCAGTTCTTTATTAGAACAATCAGGTGTTTTAGACAGGCAGAGTAACACAGCTTCACAGACTTAAACAAATGCAACATAAAAGGATACAACACATCTTTGCATCATTAAACAAATGTTCCACAGCATAAACAAATGTAACACATCTTAAAATAATATTCCACAACACCTCACTGAGTCAAACACCAGCCAGTCATAGGAGACATACGACACCTAGGAGGAGGTCCAACCTTGTGGCGGCCACTCGCCACTCGCACTGTGGCGGCCAGTTCTCAGAGAGGGGGTTGGCTGATGGAATGGGAATTGTTTTAATCTTGATGGGTGTATGGATGGCATACCATGGCATCTGCTTAATTTCCAAACTACATTACTAGGCACTTGAAAGCACTGTCTAGAAGTTCCTGATCAGCCAGGCTTGGCTGTGGTATTCCTTCTTCTCACAGCTCTGTTATTTATAACCTAAGTGAATGTCCTAACCACTCCCACAACCTGAACTAAAGCCACACATAGCCCCCCCCCCCCCCGACATGGTCTCTTTATTTTGTAGCCCTGTCTGTCCTAGAACTCACTATGTAGATCAGGCTGACCTCCCACTCACTGACACCAGTCTGCCTCTGCCTCCAGAATACTAGGATTAAAGGCATGCATCACCATGCTCAGCTTGACCCTTCTTGAAAAACAGGGGTTGGTATTTTCACTCTGTAGTTTTGTAAACTGAGTCTCTGAGGGGTGAATTAACCTGCCAAAAAACACATCATGTGGTAGCTAGGACTTGAACCCTTTCCTAGAGTCATTTTCCTTTCTACTTTTCTTTAGATATAATCCTGAAATAAGTCTTTTAAAACATCTTGTTGCCAGTGAAGGTGAAATAAAAATACACACAAACAAAATTTGATGAGTGAGACATGGTAGGGAATCCCTGACTTGTTAGTCATGGGTGTGTGTATATAGCACCTTTCCCTACATTTTTACAAACTGTATGCAAGCAAATCTATCTCTCTGTGTTAGTCAGACTTTTGCTATTATGGCAAAATACCTGAACAAAACCAGGAAGATAATATGTTTCAGCTCAATGCTATACAGGCTCCAGTCCATCATGGTGGGGAAAGGATGATGAACAGAGCAGTTTACCTCGCTGTGGCCAGGAAGTAGCCACAGTGGGAGGGAAAGGAAGGGTGGGTCCTGCACCACTGGGCTTTCTCCTTTTTCCTTTACCCCATCTGGGCCTCAACTTATATTTGGATGGCACTGCTCACATTTAAGACAAATCTCATCCCCTTGGTTAATCCCCTCAGAAACACCTTCACAGATACCCAGCAGTGTGCTTTACCAATCTCCTCGGTGCTTTTCAATCAGATCAAGTTGACAAGACTAATCATTATGGACAAGAGAGATGACTCAGCAGATAAAGGAGTTTGCCACCAAACCTGGTGATCTGAGTGTGACTCCTGAGATTGTATAGTGGAAGTAGAGAATAGAGAATAATTCCCACAAGTTGTTCTTTGACCTCCACACCCGTAAACACAAGAAATAACCTAAACATAGTTTAAAAAAAGATTATCCCATCTCCTATGCTAGCCTATTATCTATTAGAACCTGAGATCAATATATTTTTGTTGAATGACTTCCTTATTAATAATACTTCAAGTTTTGTTATTATATAAAGACACCAGCATGGCATCTAATCCCATTGGTTGTCTAACCCCAGCTGAGCCTCATCAATGAACATTCCCTCCAAAGTACCTTTTCTATAGCTGCCTAATACTTCCATAATTTTTATTTCTTCTGTCTGGAGTTCTCTTTTTCTTGTCTGATTTTCCAAGGACTATTCAGGACTCAGCTCAAATGTTAGCACTTCAGCATTCTTTTTGTTGTTCTTGTTTACTTTTTGTTTGTTTGTTTGTTTTCTGAGACAGAGTCTCATCATATAACTTTGGCTAACCTATAAACTGGCTATGTAGATTAAGCATTCTGGAACTGACAGAGATCCACTTGCCTCTGCCTCCCAAGTGCCAGGATTAAAAGCGTACATCACCATGCCCAGTTTCATTTCTTTAAATTTTATTTTAACTTTATTTTATATGCAATTGTGTAAGTGTGTCAGATTCCCTGGAACGGGAATTACTAATAGTTGTAAGCTACCATGTGGGTGTTGGGAATTGAACCAGGTTCCTCTGAAAGAGCAGCCAATGGTCTTAACTGCTGAGCCATCTCTTCAGTTCCAGCTGCATTCTTTTAAAAATTATTATATCCCTGGCCATCCTGGAACTAGCTCTGTAGGCCAGGCTGGCCTTGAACTCAGAGATTTGCCTGCCTCTGACTCCTGAGTGCTGGAATTAAAGGTGAGTGCTACCTCCACCTAGCTTAAAATTTATTTATTTATTTATTTATTTATTTATTTATTTATGTCATTTTTTGACCCACTTCTATAAATATATTTTTAAAATTTATGTATGTGTGAGTGCATGCACACATATATGTGGTGCCCACAGAGGTCAGAGGTGGGTATCAGATCCCCTGAAGTGAGTTAATATGGTTATGAGTTGCCCATTGTGGGTACTGGGAACCAAACTCAGGTCTTCTGGAAGAGCAGCAAGTATGGTGCCATCCTATCTTTAAAATTTTTTAAGATTTGTTTTATTTTTGTGTATGTAGTGTATCTGTGTATAAATATGTACATATGCATTTAGGTGACCATAAAAACCAAGAGGGTGTTGGATCCCCCGGAACTGGAGTTATAGGTGGTTGTGGGCACCTGACATGAGTACTAAGAAATTTGGGTCCTCAGCAAGAATAGTAAACACTCTTAACCACTTAGCCATCTCTCTTGCTCTTCGTTTGTATCCTTAAAACACATTGTCCATAAGTCTATTTGAGTGAATAACTGCCATGTG